CACTTGCAAAGGAAGCCCGGGATTTGAATTCCCCGGGCTTCATTTGCATAAGCGGGGAGCCGCCATTTTTAAATCCCCGCTGGTTCGAACTAGGTAGTTCGGACTAGGTTCCTATTCCGAACTACCGGTACACCTCGTGGAATAGGAATCCTAGTCCGAACTACCTAGTTCGAGCCCCGTGTAGCCGCGCTACACGGGGTTCGAACCTGCGGGGATTTAAAAATGGCGGCTCCCCGCTTATGCAAATGAAGCCCAGGAAATTCAAATCCCGGGCTGCATTTGCAAGTGCGGTATGCCTACATTATGCCGCTAGTTCGAACTAGTGGGGTAGTGTGGACATACCCTAAGAAACTTCTTGCATACAGATTTTTCTTACCCTAAACAGCTGTGACTATTGTGGAGTTGAGAGAATCTTTCATTTCCCACAGACCCAACTGGCAAACAACACAAAAGAAGTTGAAGGAGCCAGCCCTGTGGCATGCCTCTTTCTCCTCAGCCTTACAAAAGTACTTCCACAGAGGACCAAGAGCCACAGATCTGCACAGATGCGGGTAGGACATGGCTGATAGCTCTTCACCGGATTCTCCTCGCCTATGTTATTTTGTAAGAGCTATCAACATCCTCCCCACCCCTGCCACGCCGAGCAGACAGGGAGCCAGTGAGAGTCATGCCAAGGGACTGACAGGTGAAAGAGAACCAATATCCATGTCAGGCTAAGATCTGAACTCAGACTGATATCGTTGGGAATTAAAATACTTTGATTAAACTTTCATTTCTCTGTTCTCCATGGCAGTCATATCCTTCTGTTTTCCTAAATTCCCTCATCTCTGTTTTGATTGACCTCACACAGCTTTGGTTAAAACAGCTTTTTAAACCTATAAATGCACAAGGAGAAATGGCCTGATAACACCACAGCAAAATAGAGCTAAATTCCAAAAAATAGGGACATAGAGATAGAACATAAAAAGCCTCTTAGGAAGAGATTGGGGGAGGGGAGGGTGTTGCTCAATAGGGTTGACTGACGAAGAAAAATTCTATTGTGGGGGAAAAAATGAGGTTTTGAAATTTATTTGCATTCTGATGTGGGATGGAACCAACACCTTTCAAAATCTTTACACATGCTCACTCACTCCCCCAACATAACCAATAGCACAGTGGGTCAGGCACTCTGAGAGTGTGCCCCAATCACTGGGTTATTGCCTAGTCTGGGATGGATTCTCTCCCAAACACTGGCCATGGGGAAAACTTCCTGCAGAGGTTCATCAAAACCAAACACATTCCTTTACTACAAATGTTTAGCTTCCAACAAATCAGCATTTTTCAACCAAGAAAAGTCATAGTCCTTTTGAAGTCAGTAAAGTTTGTTGAAGTCAACAGAGCTACAGCAATTTATACCATCTGGGGATCTGCTCCTTGTATCTCCATGTCACTTCCTCTTAATCAAATGAAGGTAAAACAGACCAATGATAATGTATAAGCCCTTATTTCTAACCACATATGGTATTTACAATTTTTCAGAGATGAATTCAGCTTATGAGGAAATATAGAACCAGAGCTTCTCAATGGACATGAAACAGGGAACAGCTAGCGTTAACCACTGGGAAATAATATTTTGGAACTTTTGGGGGTATGGGTGGAGAAAGAAAGGTTTGTCAGAGCTGGAAGGGTTTGAAATATTGCACAGTCTGAATTCCTAAAGCAAATTAAAGATGGTTTCTGCATATAAAAACATTATGTTTAAAAAAGTCATGGTTAAAATTTCAGTCTTTTTATTTTATTAATAAGCCAGTTTTCCTTTTCGGTGAATAGGTGCTTCATTTTGCCTGGAAGAATTGTTTTTCATGTGGGTGCTTTTGACAAGTCTCATTAAAATAACAACATACCTCTATGTATAGATTTATACATTAGGGCTTTGAAGTAGGAATAAGAGCCTCCGGAAAAGGGCACTTTTTCCGGAGGATCGGGGCCAGTCTAGACGCTCTTTTCCGGCTTTTTTAAAAGCCGGAAAAAAGCGGCGGACATTTTTATTTAAATGCCGCGGGGGATATTTAAATCCCCCGCGAATTTCCCTACGACGACTAGTGAAATTTACATGCCCCTTCCGGAAAAGGGGCCAGTGTAGACGTAGCCTAGAAGATGGTTATAGTTTGAGGTAAAAATGTACTATACCCTTGTAGAAACAAAATTGATCATAGTAACTTTCATGCAGATTTTCATCCATATAGCTCATAGCTCTTTACAAAAGAGGGTAAGTAAGAGTATCCCTATTTTGCAGATGATGAAATGGAGTCACAGGGATAATGTTGCTTATTGATGGTCAGACAGCAGACTAGGAAAAAATCAGGTCTGTTGAGCTCCTTTAACACCCTTTTCACTGGAGCGCACTAATTCCCTAAGACAGTGTTTCTTAAACTTTTTAAGACCGAGGAACACCAAGTAATATTTTTTTTATGAGCAACATCAAGGATTTTTTGTTGAGGGGAAGGTGAAAGGCTGGGGAGAGGGGAAAGGTCGGGGGGAAAGTTAGAGGGAAAAAAGTTGGGAAAGTTATTGAGAAAAAAAGATCGCCTGCCCCTTTAAGGGTGGCCATTTTGAATTCTGTTGTTCTCTGTGGCACACTTCCAACTGCCTTGCAGCACACCGGTGGGCCGTGGAACACAGTTTAAGAAACATTGCCCTAAAGTGACAGCCTACAGAAGGGTTTATAGCTCATTTTTCCTAGAGCATTAGGAACACAAGCACAAAGTTAAAGTGTTTACAACCAGCTTTATCTCAGATATTTCTGTAATATAAAGGGTAGGATATCTCAAATAAAGAATTATTTATAAGATGTTGCTCTTGATCCTATGCAGAGATACACTGTGTACATGTGACTAATTGTTAGTTTAATAAGATTTTCTAAGCTGCATGTCCATATAGCTGAAACTAAGTGCTAAATCTGCCCTGCTGATGACTGGTAAATTCAAATTGCAAAATGCTTATTCCAAAGACCACCTATAAAAACTGAACTTAACAGAACTCAGGAACAGAAAGCCAAACTGTGTCAGAGCAGACACAAAAATGTGGATATTAAAACCAACTAACAGCAAATACTTTTTCTTTGATGCACTAGGGAATATTGTGAATCAAAGCAGCATAGCAACAATAAGCAGGTGAAGCTAATTTCTCCATCAGATTCATACCATGGCCATCTCCAAGCTACGTAAAAGTTTGGCAGAGAACAGCAGAAGAGAGGAAATCAGCTAGTTGAAACTAAACTCTGAAAAGGACAAAGTGGTGATGGTGGGGAGAGGAGAAAGCTCGGAAGAATGCCTATGTACCACATTATGCTCCACCAAAGGCACCCGTTTGTAGAAACAGGCTGCAACCTTCATGTCACTGTTCATCATCATGCCTAATTAGTTATTCTGAATACAACAGAATTTGGTAGAAGCTGTTTTGAGTATTTGTCCTATTATAATTTTCACACAGACAACTGTCACTTGCAGGCCCTATGCTAGACTATTAAGGGAAATGCAGTATGGATTTATATTGATTATCTCGTTGCAACTCCAGGGTGATGATGGCACTTCATCAGATGGAGAGCTAGGTTGATCTTCTGATGCTCCCTCTTCAGAGCCTTTATATTTGTAGCATGTGAGACTCTGCCCAGAAGTGAGCCATAATTGGACTTGGAATACGATCCAGAGAGTTCATGCGACTTGAAATGAACAATTTTGACATAAATCCATACAATATTGGCATTTTTTGAAAACTCTGTAACCTTATCTCCTGAAAACAGATGGTTTTTGGAGTTCACAGAATGAAGAGATCCAGGGCCTAATTTTCCTTTCAGTTACACAGGTAACAAGAAAAACTACATTAGTGAGGATATTGAGGGCCTATATTTTTGTGTATTTAATTGCTGCACTGTTTCTTAAATGAATATACTATAATATTCTAAATTGATTCAGAAATCTTCTGTCAAAAAAAGATACAGAGAATTACACTTTCTCTGCCATGGAGGGACTTCAGTAGAATGTGTATCATTATTAGAACTGAGAAACTTTTCAAATATTCAAGATACCACATCTAAATGTATGAATTTTCTGGGTGACACTGTAGCTTGGCACTATTATGCACCCTAGAAACTAATAATCTTGTGCTTTGTATTTATTAGTTCCTAACCTATGCATTTTTATATTTCAAAGATGAGAAAAATTCAGGAAACATTCATATTTATTACATATCAGGGAAAAAGTACTAAGAGATGGAGAGAAATGAAAAAAATGAAACCCTGCAGCTGAAATTAAAGATCATAACCAATGTGTCCAGACCCTAAATGTCTTAGAACCAATATTTTATTCCCAAGTGCTTCCCAAAACCCCGAGACTACTATCCAGCAACATGTGTATCAAGTGAAGCATGTAATACAAAGGACATCTGTAGACTCCTTAAAGAGACTTAGGATACGTCTACACTACAGCGCTAATACGAACTAACGCGTCTAGAACTAAAAACTAGTTTGAATTAGCGTTTTGCTAATTCGAACTAGCGCGTCCAAACGCAGGGGGGCATTTAAGGGTGGCTGAAACCGGCAGGGCATCAGGTCAATAGTTGCATTGTGTGGCTGCTGTCCGAGGCTATCTGAGGCTCGTGCTTAAAGGGAACCCCCTGGACAGCCGGTTCTCAGCTTTTCCTGCTTGCTTGCCAACCTCGCCGAGGGACAGCAAAGCGTT